TTGGATTATGCTACCAAAATGGCATAGGCACTATAAAGGATGAAATAAAGGCATTTGAGTGGTATTTGAAATCTGCTGAAGGCGGTCATTCCTTGGGACAAAATAATCTTGGATGCTGCTATGTCGAAGGCATAGGCACTGTAAAGGATGAAAAAAGGGCATTTGAGTGGTATTTGAAATCTGCCGAAGGCGGCAATTCTATAGGACAATATAATCTTGGATCATGCTACCGAAATGGCATAGGCACTATAAAGGATGAAATAAAAGCATTTGAGTGGTATTTGAAATCTGCTCAGGGTGGTAATCCCGAAGGACAATTTAATCTTGGAGACTGCTATGACGAAGGTATAGGCACTATAAAGGATGAGAAAAAAGCCTTTGAGTGGTTTTTGAAATCTGCGGAAAACGGTTATTATAGTAGACAATTTGAAGTTGGATTATGTTATAGAAATGGTATTGGAACACCACCTAATCGTGAAAAAGCTAATGAATGGCTGCAAAAAATGAAAAGTAATAGAGATCAAAAAGAAATTAGCCATAAACATCTTGGTGATTATCTTAAAAAATCAGGATTTGAAGATAATTTATCAATACCATGGATTCCATTTAGTGAATTAGAATTTATAAAAAATATAGGAAAAGGTGGATTCGCAACTGTTTATTCTGCTCGGTGGAGACATTTAATTAAAAATACTGAAAATACACTTAAAGTTGCACTTAAAATTTTTCATAAATCAGAGAATATTTATAAAAAATTTATAAATGAGGTAAATATCTTGATAACAATAATTTATATTAAATTTATATTAAATACTATATGTTATTAATCTAATAATTATGATTTGAAGTTAATTGCATATTCAAAAATTGGATCTAAAAATCAAACATTTTTACAATTCCATGGAGTAACAAAAGATGAAGATACAGGAGATTATATTATAGTTATGCAACATGCATATAAGGGTTCCTTGCGCCAAAATCTTTACAATGTTGCTCAAATGAAATGGGATAAAAAATTAGATTTAATATCATACATTGCATTAGACCTTAAATTAATTCATTCACATGATATAATTCATTGTGATTTACATAGCGCAAATATTTTACAAGATGAATTATATAATGCTTATATTGGTGATTTGGGGTTTGCGACAGCCGTCAATAAAGCATTAGATGCAAAATCAGGAGAAATTTATGGAGTTATACAATATATAGCTCCCGAAATTTTGCGTGGAAAATCATTTTCTAAGGCAACAGATATTTATTCATTTGGAATGATTATGTGGGAAATTTCATCAGGAAGAGTTGTATTTTCAGAAAGGGAGTACGATAATATAAGACTAGATATAGGAATTTGTGAAGGGTTAAGACCAACTATTCTTGAAGGTACACCACTACGTTATGCTGAACTTTTAAAAAAGTGTTGGGATAATGATCCAAAAAAACGACCTTCTGCTTCTGAAATTTATGAAATCGTTATAGAATGGAAAAATGATAGTAACGTTTTATTGGAATTTATAGAATCAGATAATAAAATGATAATAGAAAATATTCCATATAACAAATCAACCTACAGTAGTAAAGTTAATAGCTGTATAAGCAAATTCCATAAATTCGGTATTACTGATATTATTGACAGCGTTTCAGATAATATTAATATAAATAATGCAGATGTTGAAAATATGAAAATTGACACTGTTATTGAAAATACACAAATGGATTCTGAAATGTTACGTTTTCATACAAATCATGAGGGATTAAACGTTAATGAAAAACGTCTTTATGAGGATGATGTTAGTGTAGAAAAAGAGATCAAAAAAATTCGTCAAAAATAAAAGAATGTTAATTTACTGTATTTTATTGATTATTTATCAGATCATTTTTAATTTTACAGTCAATAAAAATTTTATCGTTTTAATTAATTAAAAAATAAATAGTAAGTGTAGCTGATATAGTTATTCATTATCCTTTTTATATATTATTTATTATAAGGCAGATCGTTTACAACTGTTCTCATAAATTCCTAAACAATCTAAAATTTTGTATATTTACTAAAATCACCAACTTTTCGGAAACTAAGTCGCTATTTTCGAATTTCTATCTAGAGATGCTATGTAGTCTCCGAGATTTCGGGAAATAAATTTGTCACAGAATTTATGAGAATAGCTATAAATTTTGAAAACTCGAAACCTTTCGAAAAAGAAAAAGAAGTTCTGGTCACAAGTATACTATCTATTCTTTATAAAGAGTTATCAATTGAACATTTACTAGAAATACTGTATATGAAAATTTCGTTTATATCGTCTCTTGAATCTTTTATTTTATTGATTAATGTTTTTTTTCTTTTTAAATATAATAAAGAATCCAACTGGTTCATACCATATGAATTCTTATTTCTTCAAATTTCTTCTTATAGTTCTAAGCGAATTTTTTACATCAGCTTTAAAGAAAATCTTACGGTAAACCAAATATCAGATATTAAATAATATGAAAATTTCTGTATGAGTCAACTTTGATCTGGAATTATAAAGTATCACAGCAGGCTATGCTACGGGTACGACGACGTCGAAACTCAACAACAACATCAACACACCACCAAACGTTACAGAGGCGGATTCGATTTGGCAGGTCAGGTAAGTATGGTGTTTCAAGAAGCACATGTTAAATACTCTATTTATTTTAAGGACAGTGAACTTTATTAATTATAGGGCGGAAAGGACGGGGAGACTTGATTTTTTTTATCAAAACTGTAACGGGAAAAGTCGCTTCTTGTCTAAACTCAAGGCAAAAAACGATGCCTTTTTTATAACTTGGGGGATGAGTTTCTCTATTCTACTCTTTTCCGTCTTACTAATTTATCCTTTTATCTACTAGTCCCATCACTTTCTTTCAACACCTTCGTTACTTTAGCAATTCATCTCATTAACCTTTCTATTTTGTAGGTCCTGTGATAATCACACCACTCAACACAGCCAAGATCTTTAAGGATAAGTTTCGTTATCTTCTTTTTCATGCGCTGCTTCATTTTACTAATTGTTATTCCCCTTTTAGGTCAATTCGTTCCTTATCGGGGGCATCTTGTTTTAACGTTAATACATCGTGGAAGGCTTGGGTCCATCCGGTTTTGGGCTGTTCTTTATTATATGCAGATCGGGTTATACAACTTGATCTGGCTCACGATTCTAGTCACGATTTCGCTGCGGCTTCATTGCGGTTTCACAAGATCGTGGTGCTGTGGCGGGAACGATTTTACCTCCTACAGTATAATAACATATAATTCTTTCAAATTGATACGTATACACAGTATTATACAATTGATTTCACGCAACTACATTAATTCGACAGGTTAAAAAAAACAATGATTCGACAATGTTCTGTATTGCTTTTATTCGTGACAGTAAAAAAAAAAAATAAAAAAAAAATCAACCGAGTCGTAACTAACGATGGCAAAATAAATAATAAATGTACGTATTAAGACATGATGTGTAAAATTAGAATAGTCTGGATTTAAATAGAATTAGTGTTTTTTAACTTTGCATTCTTAAC